AAAAAAAAAAAAAAAAAAAAAAAGAAGTAGCACAAGGAAAAAGACACAGAGTCACATTACCACAGTATCATGCACCTATTAGTTTAAATTGAAACAAGAAATAAAGAGATGTCTTTCTTAGTTAAATATAAAGAAGCAGCCAGGGTGAGGGGAGAGGAGAAATCCTCTCTCATTCTACAGCTTAGGCTTTGAGAAAGCAAGACTGAGTAAAACTGACATAGCCCCTGCCTCTTAGCAAAAGAACTTGTAGGACAGACGAGAGGGAGAGCGGGGGAGACTGTGTGTGTAGCACTTAGCTGATGTCAAGCACAATATTAGGTCTTTTTGGTGAGTTATCTCAGGTATTCCTTGTGTTAGTGTAAGGTGATATAGGGATATACGTTCATTATCTCCATTCAATAAATGAGTTCGCTGAAGCTCAGAGAGTTGTCACTTGGTAAAGATTATATCTCAAGTAGGTAAGTGAGCTGGGATTTATACTTAAATCTTCCTGATGTTTGATGCTCTATTTTCAAATATTATAAAATTTTAGATTGGAGAGAGAGGATAGAAGCTGGGGTGGAGAAAAGGGAAGGAGGGGAGCAGTAGAGGAGAAGGGAGCGAGGCAAAGAGACAGAGGAAAAAATAACTAGACATAGAAAATGAGTCTACAAGTCCATGAGAGCACAGGAAACAAAGATACTCTCAGAGACTATGAGAGCACTTGGAGACCCTGCCTAAGCAGGAGGCGAATGAGGTCATTAGATCCATCTGCGCAGATGGGGACCCTCTGGGGAAAGTTATAAGCAAATGTCATGATGCAATGAGGTGAAATCGACTTGCCTTAGTTCAGGCTGGGACTCCAGCAGGGACTGTTCTGCACTCTTTGGAAAGATGGATCATGTGCTGGATGGGGAGGATGCTTGCTCGGTTGGGCTCTTCCTATCAGTTTGTAGAGAGGCAAGCCAGCCCAAGGTCACAGAGCACAGGAAGGGATGGACTGGGAACTCACACACAAATCTCTCACTTTTTCTTATGCTAGTCTGCTTCGGAGGTTCTCCAACAAATTTTGCTCAAAACTTGTATGTAAGATATTCCCTCCTCAGGATCTCAGGCTTCATAGAACGTGATCTAAGATTCCTTAAAGAGTGCTTAGTTTTTATTGTTTCCTCCCTAAACCGAGCCCACCCTTTTGTGCAGTTATGTCTTCTTAAAGGACGCTTTCACATTTTTTATTTCACTTGATCATCACGGTAGTCTTATATGTTAAATGTTCCATTGTGCAATTAGCCAGTTTGGGTCTATAACATATGAAATTATAAATTTTCACCTGTGATTTTGCACAGGCTTTATTGTTTCCAGGGAAGGTGGGTCTTTCTATACCAGTTCTACACACAGGTACCTGAGGCTCAGACAGGAGTAGCTTGTCTTACTTTAAGTATCAAATGGGTCACTAATTTCTTGGGACAAATGCCTGGCTGTCCCTTTCTCAGCCTCAACTTTGTCATCAATAAAAGGAGGCTTCCTGTGGAAACTTTCTTACAGAGTTGTAAAGCAGACTCAGAGTGTTCTTGTCTGGAAAGGGTTCAGCACACTGCCTGACCCATAACAAGGGCTTCAGTGAACGTGAATTGCTCTATTGATGGCTGTGATCCTGTTGATAAAAGTTATCACAGTGCTAGGAAGAAGAACCATGAGTTGAACTTGAATCTTCTGCTCCTCAAAATTGAGTGATTGTTACCCTGCCCTTCATTGCTTCTCTGACAGTTATTACTTTAAAACAAAGCACTGGATTCATTCCTTTTATTTTTCCCTCTTCAGGTCACTCCTTTCCCTATGTCTTGTGACCTACAAGGTGACTGTGCTTGTCGGGACCCGGAAGCCCAAGAACATAGCCGGAAAGACCTCCGGGGGTACAGCCATGGATAAGGAAGAACAAGCAGTTGTCAAAGAATTCCCAACACTAGGACCCGCATCCCTTTGGTATTGATTTCACAGTCTGCTGCTCAATGGAATGGCCTCTCCACACCAGGGATCCTTAGCACCCAACCGATCTGCCTTTAATTTCACCCAGGAAGGACTCATAGTAGGGCGAATGGACCAAGTCTCATCATAATGGATGTTGGAATGGAATCCCATCCCAAAGTCTGAGATGGATTGCGTATACAACATGCAGTCCCAGAGCCTCCTAAAATTCTAATCATTTATCACATAACCACAGCAAAAACATGTACTTGAGAGTATGCACATCTGTGGTTAGAATACATGCATGCATACACTTCCATACAAAAACATCTGTGTGAGGACAGTTCTGGAGACAGAGTTGAGAGAGACTGGAACAAACTCAATCTTTCCTTTCCCATGCACATAACCAACACTCTCCATGGGAGGAAGAGAGTTATAGGAACTGCTAAGATCAAGTATTGAGATGCCAAGAAAGCTCACGCCCTGAAGCTCAGAACATGTAGACTGCATAATTGTGCAGTCCTTTGGGATTGGAAGTGAAATGATCTGTGGTCACCAACTTTCAAGCAGAATAGGGCCCAGGAAGAGGTAGAGATTCTAAGGTATGCAAAGTCCCCCAGTTCTCTCGCTGCCATAGGGATTTTACCCCAACCCCAGGGTTCTAGGTCAAGCCAGAAATGGCTTAGGACTGGAAAGTTAACGTGTTATACCAGCCCCCTACTTGAGGCTTGAGGTCATAATATCCCTCCACATCCCACCCATTCCCCAGATCTTGCCTTGGGACCACATTTGCTGCTACTTTTCCTGCTGCTCTATCTTATACATAAGGTACCCCAAGATGACAGAACTAGGTTAGGAGAAACACCACCCAACCAAACAGTCTGCCTTAAAAGCGGCCCACATTTTCCCACATTTCCTCACCTCTGAGTCCTTCTGTAAGAGAAAACCCTTCATGAGCCCACATGATGGGAAGTAAAGTCCCGCATGAGTGGGCTTCTCATGCTGGAAGGGAAGTATGGGACCTCAAATGCTGGGATCCTTCCTGAGAGTACAGAATGCTTAAGTCAGTGTTAGATTTCATAACCAAGTGGAACAGTGTTAAGCTTCTGGGATGTTGGAGCTATCCAGAGACTTTCAGAACTGTCTGGACTCTTGGGTTATGATCCTTGTCCTAGTCTTCTTAGCCATCCAGGCCAGAGGAGGCCTTGGTTCTGCGAAACTCACTGTTCCTGTGCAGATATAATTCTGGAACAGAGACTCATCTTGAATGCTATTAACGTGGACATGTTCTCAAGGGCCATTAGAGGAAAGCTTAAGATTTCACAGCCCTGGTGTCCAACATGATCATCACATTTTCTGTATTGATTTTCCGCCACCAGTACACACCTGTGGCTAGACAATTTCCCCATGTCTCCCATATTCATCCACCACAAGTTAAGAGGAAATTATTCAATTACACAGGGAAGCAAGTCCCCACTTCTTTTAGGGACTTTTTGCCTATTTTCAGTCAGTAACTGTCCACTCCCTTTGAGTTAATGTGGAAAGAGATTAATACCGGATGAAGCAGAGACAGTGGTTAAGTTTGACATATTTTATGAAACCCAGAAATGGAGGTAAGGACATGGAAAGCTCTGAACTAATTATGTCATATAAAGATCACTGTAAGTCAAGTGATCTCAAGTCTAGTGAAGACAACCAACAAGAGCAAAGTCTAGAACAGAAATGGACATTACCAGGCACATGTGCACCTCCCCCAATTCCTGTATGGAGGGCAGGCATTGTTCATCCATCATGGTTCCTTTTCCTCTCGGGACCAAAAATAACATCAGAAACTCTCTGATTTTATGACTCCCAACAGTAATTACCTGCTGATCAGAACACTTGAAAAGGCATCTGTTGTCCTTCTGTGGTCCATTATATTAAGAAATACATCAAGGTGCTTTTTCAACAGGTGAACACCTGTGAGGATGCAGTGCTTAGTGCTTAGTTTACATGGCTTTCCCCATTACAAACTCTGAGATTGCATTCCAGAAGGGAGAGGCTGCCACCATTGTAAGGCCAAGTTCATATCCTTTTTGATTTCTTTTATAAAACCATACACAGGGAATTTATTTCTGTAATCACCCAGGCCAATCCTTTGCAAAAAAGAACAATAATAGAAGGATTGACCTTATTTTGTGCCTATCTCCAGTAAAACTCTTATCAACTCTTATGGCCTAACAATTGCTCTACCTGAGTTTTTGGCCTTGTAGTGGCAGTTCGGAAGGTGCAAGCTGAGAGAGGAAAGAGGGCCAGCCCTCCTGGTGGCTCAGTTATATCCATGAGTAGTACAAAGTGCTCGGAAGACCCGAAGATGGCATTACTAATGTCAGGATTGTAGGAAGCACAGGAAACCCTCACCAGCTTCCCATACACCAATCCTCATCTGGTCTCCACCCTCACTGCCACTATTATCTATCCCTACACTTTCTAGATGGGCAAAAGTTCCCAGAGGCTTACTTCCACCTTCAGATTCACAGTTGGAATTGAGCTTTTCGAGGAGACCTAGTCTCTTCCATACTGTAATCCAAACCTGTTACTGACAAGTTAATGTTTGCCAAGGATATTTCTTAGGTGAAACAGGACCCCTGACTGGGGGCCAGCCTTCATGAGGAAGGGTCATCTCTATTCATGTGCACTGATTCCAAGTTCCACATCCCTGGAGTCATCTGTTTAGGACAATGGAGTACTCACAAGGAGGCGGCTCTGAAGCACTGCTGTGTATTGGCAGCTCAGGGGGCCTAGAATACTCAAGAGCTCTGCATCTGAAGAAGCACTGCCCTGTCAGCGGCACTGAAGAGAAGAAGAAAAGGGCATATCTCTGAGCCCAATCCTGGGAAGCCTTTCCAAGCCACAACTCTAACTGCCTGCCCAGAGGACTTGCATTACACCCGAATTCTGTGCCAAAAAACTTGTGAGGGAATACAGTTCTTGGGAAATCAGTTTGAGTAGGTGAACTGGGGTGTAAAGGAAGGGAGAGATTAATGGTCATCAATAGCGGGCCTTTGGAGACAGAGGGTATCAGCTGCTACTCTTGGCTTCTGCGCATTGGGTCACTGCCTAGACTGTTCTCTTGGTCTTATTCCCACCTTGGCCAATGCTTAAATGCTATTTGTTGAAAATAATTATTTGAGACAGTTTTCAGCTACCTCCCTTCCAGGTTTGATTTAACTTGGTTGTGACTGTCAGTTTGTTATAGGTCTTACCTGTGTTTAAAAAAGAAATCAAGAGAAAGGAAAGAAAGAAGAAAGAAGGGGAAGGAAAGAAAATGAAAGAAAGAGGGAAAAAGAGAAAAGGAAGGAAAAAAATCACAAAGTCAAGTTAACAGTTTTGAGATTTTTGTATGGGTTTTACTTTTCTTTATTTTTTTCTGGAGCTACTTTAAATGAAAAAATAAATAGAAAAAAATGACAGTGACAAAACTGTACAGATAGAAATTAATAGAAGACAATAAGATTAAGAGGAAATAAAATGCATGATAAAAACTAAGAAAGAAAAACCCTATTTTTATGTTTCCTAAGGGAAACTGTTTATTCTACAGACTGAGTAGGTAGATACAGCGTAATTATTTCCCTAGAAGACACAGAGTGGGAGTTTATAATGCTATCTGTTATTTTCTGTACATTGTGGTAGGTCCAGGGGATATGGCATCTACCCATTTGATTTGTTGTTGTTGCAGAGGGAGCATTTTGTTCATTTGTTTGGTGGCAATCAGTGGCATTGGGGAGTGGGCGGGCTTGAGAATTGGTTTTACCCAATGTTAAAGGGACATATTGTGTCGTTGTGCTTTTTAAGTTATAAGATGTTTCTATTTGCCGGTAGAGCATTGGGCTTTCTAAAGACTGCACTCAGAACCACACTGCACAGTCCAGTTTCCTAAAAAGCTGCTACATAACCAGACAGGTAATTCCAGTGTGTTTTAAGAAACAAAGCTAACCAGGCAACCAACAAATATAAAAACTAAATAGCAAACGAATAAAATGCCTGTTCTTATAATTTTTCCAAGTTTTGCCAAATTCCTATCAATTTTTTTTTTTGGCTTTTTAAGAGAAATGTATAACTAAGAGAAGAATTATAGTCTTAGCACAAAGAACCTAGAATTCTTGACTCCAGGCAGCAAATTCTGTCAGTGGTCTTGAACAAATCATCAGATTGCCTCTACAGTTGCCTCAGTTTCTCTAGTTGCAAAATGAGGGTCAAACTCCTTACCTACCTCACAGTGGGAGGGCAGACGATGGTGAGGCCTTGATGTTTTAAAGGGGCTGTGACGATCTCTGAGAGTCAAGACGTAACATAAAGTCCACAGGCTACTTTCCAAGAATGTACAGGCCCATTGGCCTTCTGAGAAAGACGGGAGTAGTTGTCTGATATTTCAAGGCATAAAGCTGGAGCTCCTGGGTCATAGGCCACCATAAGAGAGTGTATTGGGTGATATTGAACTCTTTAGGTAAATTGTAGTTTCTTCCCTTATTCTGGCCTTTCCCAGTTCAATGATTTGATTGAAAGCCAATTACTTCCTACAGTGTAGAAGTCAGTTTGCTGTTGGCTGTTCAAGACTTCCAGGCCATTTCCAACTTATAGAGGAAGGGAGTCTCTAACATCTCTTCAGCAGATCCCTCCCTTCTCAGACTTAAATATCCACATTGAGTGTTCCATTACAAGAAGATAACGGCATTCTGAGTAGAAATAACTCGGGGCTTCTTAAACTACACACCAGCAGTCAGTGAGGAGAATTTTGAACAATTATTAAGTTGCTTTCTTGGGTCTCTATAATCAATAACCTGTCTGCAGATATCTATCTATATAAAGATATTATATATAAATATAAATTTACATATATATGCACATGTATATATAGTTGTACATATATGTGTGTATATATATACTTAAATGTAATATTTACAAAATAAAACTGTGATCTCGTCTAGAGAAAATGTATTCATATTACAAACTGCTCTTCCATATTTATGTATCATATTATGCCTTTTTATTATTGTTATAATTATTATGGATATTTCTAATTATTATGATGTTGAAATCTGTTTGGCACCTTGTGGAACCTACCGAAAAATGACTCTCCATTGAAGTGCTTAAAATCTCTTCTGATGAGAATTCTACTGGCCTACTGTAAAAAAAAAAAAAAAAAAAAAAAAAAAAAAAAAAAAAAAAAAAAAAAAAAAAAAAAAAAAAAAAAAAAAAAAAAAAAAAAAGAAAGAAAAAAAGAAAGAAAGAAAACAATCTAAACACCAAAAACTAAACACAATTCCAATCCTTTTTCCGTACCTCACGCGCATAAGTTTGCTGCTCCTATTTTGGGTTTTATTTTTTCCTGTTTATGTGTTTTTATGGATCTAAGTTAAGTCTTTCAGCAATATATAAAAATGTAAATAGTAAACTTTATTTATTAAGAATGTCATCTTTTTTAATTTATATTTACACAATTGTTCATCTAATTTATTTTTTCTATACAGTTTTAAATACTCCTACATATTTTGCTGTTCATGATATTTTTTATCCTATTCTCATGGATTTGTTTTTCCATACTGTTTTCTCTGGTCTCAGTTACAGGTTGGATCTCACAAAAAATAATGTCAAAGACAGAAATATTTTGCCACTGTCAATTACTATACCTTAAAGTTCTATATTATGAAAATATATAATAGCTTGTCTGCTTCCAAGTGTTGTCATGTGGTTTTTGTCTTTTGTGGAACTATAAACATGGACAGGAATTTCAGGGTCTAGAATGGGAACACCACTGTTCCATAAAATTAAGTCCAATGTGTACCCAGTTCTCCACATGATTCCTGAAAATCACCTACATCTTGCATATTCAGAAACTGAGAAACATTCTTACATGTGACAAGAAGGGTTTTGCTTTGGGGGGGGTGCTAAAAATTATTATTTCTAGTTCTGTCTTACCTTTGGACTACCCTCAACAGTATATAATATTGTTTATTTTCATTTTTAAAAATGGAACACTTAATCATGTAGTTTATCAAATAAGCCTCCAGCTAGAATTAAAAAGTTGCTCTTTACATCTTTTTAGTATCTACTGTTCATATCATCATTTAGTATCTCTGTGATCATTAGAAAATTACCAAACCATTTTAAGATTTTGTTTTGCTATCTGTGAAATTGAAATAACGACAGTGCCCTCTTCATAAGGCTTCTGCCAGAACTCAAAAATATAAAAACTCAAAGTGGTAAGATCAGTGTGGGGCACAGACTGAATTCGTAGGTATTATTAGACCAAAGCTGATTATGGCAGCCATTGATAATAAACTAATTTTATTGTCATTTTTACAGAATGGAATGATCATGTACTAAACACCCAAGTACTTGCACGGTCACTTCTGTAGAGTAAATTTACTAGCATTGTACATAGAGCTATTGGTACACAATTCTACCAGAAGGCATTCCAAAATAACTTTTTGTCTTGTGATGCTTGAAATTTTGAATTCTGTGCCTCCCCCAAAAAAAAGCAGCGTAGGGACATTGATGTGATTTATACTTATAAAGGAAAGATTAGGAAAGTAAAGAATTGTCCACACTCAATTTTTCAATCTTTAAAACCACAATCCACTAAAAAGATGAAGAGATGGGTAAAAACAATCAATTAATAATAAAAAGTTGTTGCTAGATTCTTCTAGGTAACTATTTTGAGAGTAAGATATGTGATTGAAAAGTATTTTATGAAGTCGTGTTAGGTTTACTGTGAAGATTAGCATAAAATTTATAGAATAGGCTCATGACAAGAGGCTAATATTTCCCAAACAGAAAAATTAAGACATGGAATACTAATAGGCTTTTTGTTCTCTTTTCAACAAAGATAGAAAGTCATGGAGCAAAGAGCTTTCTCTTAGAAGATGGAAGTTCTTAGTTACAGGGTCTTCTCCACTCTTTGTCCAGCACACACACACACACACACACACACACACACACACACGGAGGGCTAACTGGGCTTAGTTCCTTAATCTAATGGGAAAAGACTCCTTTCTTTCTTCAAAGCAGGCAAAAATGATCAGCAAGTTTCTTCAGTTCTTAACTTTAGTGCTGGCAAGCAGAATCTAAGCTAAAAACAAACATACAAAAACAGCATCTTCAACCTTCAGCTCATGGCCCCTTTGCTCTTTCTGAGTAAATGTCTAAAATTCTAAAAGAACAAAGTTAGAGGTGAAAAGTGACAGTGCTACCCAGAGGCATGAATTAGCAATTGAAGGGAACCAAGTACAAGTACCATTTGTCCTGTGACCTTGAACATACTGGTTACCTTTAAGAAAGAGTTGACAATGGGAAAAAGCAGGTGATGTTCTTAATAAGCAAGGGAACTAGCAAGGGGACATCCTACAATGGAAAACAAAACAGTACTCTCAAGAAACTGGAAAAAAAAAGGCTAGTACACTTAGAGCATGTAACCACGGTCAAAGTAGAAGATGGAGAGGTTAGCATGAGCAAGTGGCGTGACGGATGGAGGCTTTATCTGAACTGCAAGGCAGAGCCAATCAATGGTGCTTAGAGATTTGCAAGACCCTTCAGACATGGCATGAAAGAAAAGATGGAGGGTGCTAAGTGCAGATGTATCTTCAGAGATAAGAGAACAGTATGTAGTCCAGGAAGGAAATGATGTCTGTTTGGATGAAAGTGGTGACAGTGGGTGAGCAGAAGTTTTATTTGTCTCCTAAATGATAAAATTAGATGAAATGATCATTAGAATTGCTAACATTCTGCAATGCTAGAAACTCATTGTACGCTACTGCCATGCAACAATTTCCAATTGCTTTTTTTAAAAAAAAAAAAAAAGACATTATTTCGTAGTGACATTTTGGGTTCACAGGGAAGCCAAGCAGAAAGGAGAGTCCTTATTAGATTTTTAAACAACAACAACAACAATAATAATAAAATATCAGGTTAGAACACCTAGATATTGGATTGGATTGGAAATCAGGAAAACGTTGAAACGAAGGCTAGGTGATGAAGTTTGTATGTCTGAAACTCAAGAAATGATCCTGACGATACTCAGTGGTTTCCGATGGTAGTCTGAAGTCAGACACACAAGTTTAAATATCACCTTGTTTCTTTTATGTGAGAAACCTAAAGTGTAAATAAGGAGCAAAAAGGTGGATGGATGTTTGGAATTAGGAAGAACACGTTCAAGTTGGAAGGGGCACAAGGAAAGGAGAGCGGGGAGGGAAGGAAGGGAAAAGCGATTTAAAAAAAGAAAGGGAGAAGACAATGGAAACCTTTCGTGAATGGGGAGGAGGAGGGTTG